ATGAGGTGCGAAAATGGGTAATATCGGTCCCCCAAGGGTCAAAATTTTGAATAATTTTAACTCTTATAAAATGTGATGTAAGAGTCCGATTGTCTTCAAATCACATACATCACAATATTTTTATTAGCCTGGTGTCTGGTGTGAAGATAGAATATATAGGTCCACTCTTTCTGGTAGCTCCCGACAAAAGGTCAACATTTTGAATATTCATGAAAAAACGAGAAATTAACATTCGATTCGATTCAGACTTGGCGAATCTCAATATTTTTATCAACATAAGATCCGTTCCAAAGATGGTAGAGATCTGACAATTTCTTCTGGTACCTCCCCCACAAAGGCTCAACATTTTGTATAACCAAAAATATCATAAAATCCGAAATAAACATCAGGTTCTCTTCATATTTCACACATCCCATTATTTTTATTGACCAAAGGTCTAGTGTAAAAATGGTATGTATCGGTCCACTCCTTCTGGTACCTTCCCCACAGAGGGTAAAATTTTTGAATGTCCATGAAGCTCCTAAAACGCGAAATTAACATCCATTTCCACTCAGACTTGGCACATCTCAAGATATGTTATAAAGATGGTTAAGGTCGGATCATTCCTTCTAGTACCTCCCACACAAAGGGTCAAAGCTTTGAATAACCAAAGGGATCATAAAATCTAAACTAAGCTTCTGGTTCTCTTCAAATAACACACAACACAATATTTTTATTTACCCAAGGTCTGGTGTGAAGGTGGGATATATCGGTCGACTTCTTCTGGTACCTCCCCCACAAAGCGTGAAATTTTTGAATATTCATGAAGCTCATAAAACACAAAATTAACATCCGATGCCATTCAGACTTGGCACATCTCAATATTATTATCAGCACAAGTTCTGCTATAAAGATGGTAGAGATCGGACCATTCCTTCCGATACCTCTCCACAAACGGGATAAAATTTTGAATAATCAAAACGTTCATAAAACACAAAATAAGCGTCAGGTTCTCTTTATTTTCACACAAACCATTATTTCTACTAACACAAGATCTATTGCGAAGACGAGATATATCGGTCCATTCCTTCTGCTACATCCCCCACAAGGGGTCAAAATTTTGAATATCCATGAAGTTCATAAAACTCCAAACTAACATTCGATTCCATTTAGACTTGGTACATCTTAGTATTTCCATCAACACAAAAAGATGGGACCATTTCTTCTGGTACCTCCCCCACACACAGGATTCAAGATTTTGGAAAAAGAAAAGCCTCAAAAAAGCGAAATGAACATTCAAATCTTTTCAATTTTCACACACCGAAATATTTTTGCTAACGCAACATCTGTCAAGTCAGAGATCGGGTTGGGTAAGAGAATCAGAGTCTAGCCCGGGTCTTGAACCCAAACTTTCGGGTAAAAATCTGGGGTCCCTAGTCCGTCACCCAAAAAAAAAAAGAGCTTCCCCGAATCATGGTAAAAATACCTACCACTGGAAAACAAATTTAACAAAAAAAGGAAAAGCAGGCCTAGCTTTTAATACCCTCCATAATTTGGAACGAATTTGACTATTTTCAAAAAAAAAAAAATAAATCCGTTAAAAATTCTGTTAAAATCTTGAAAATACCGAACGTAGCCGTTATATTAGGGTCTACGTGGACCTGCATAGGCAACTATTCAAATGCGAAACTTGATAAAAAAAAAATCGGTGAATAATGAAGCTAAAATCATAACAAGTAAAAAAACATTAAGTTCGGCCGGGCCAAACTTTTAATACCCTCCACTTTAGGGTAAAATAAACATTAGAAGAAATGTGACAAAAACCATTAAAATGCCGATTATGGGGAGGTACCGTAATATGGGGTCTACACCAAAACGTGGACCTATAATTACAATGTTTCGCCACACGAACTAGGACCCATTATGGCCCACAAATACCAATTTTTAGACAAATCAGTGAAAAAATGTGGCAAAAACCATCAAAATACCGAATATCGGGAGGTATCTTTATATGGGGGCTATATCAAATAATGGACCCGTGCATGCAATGTTTCGCCACCGAAGCTGGAACCAATTATGACCAACAAATACCAAATTTCAGACAAATCCGTGAAAAAAATGTGGCAAAAATCATTAAATTACCGAATATCGGGAGGTCCCGTTATATGGGAGCTATACCAAAACGTGGACCTATAATTAAAATGTTTCGCCACACGAACTAGGACCCATTATGACCCACAAATACCAATTTTTAGGCAAATCAGTGAAAAAATGTGGCAAAAACCATCAAAATACCGAATATCGGGAGGTACCGTTATATGAGGGCTATACCAAATCATGGACCCATACATGCAATGTTTCGCCACCGGAGCTGGAACCCATTATGACCAACAAATACCGATTTTCAGACAAATCCGTGAAAAAATGTTGCAAAAATCATCAAATTACCGAATATCTGGAGGTACCGTTATATGGGGGCTATACCAAATTTTGGACCCATACATGCTATGTTTTGCCACACGCTCAGGGACCTGCTATGACCTACAAATACCAATTTTAAGACAAATCCGTGAAAAAACGTGGCATAAATCATCAAAATACCGAATATTGGGAGGTACCGTTATATGGGGACTATACCAGAACGTGGACCGATATATCTCATTTTCAATACCAACCATCCTAGACACAATGCAAATAGCTCTGCTAAATTTTGGAGCTCTACGTCAAATAATGTGGGCTGTATCGTGATTTCAACAGACAGACAGACGGACAGACAGACAGACAGACGGACAGACAGACAGACGGACATCGTTAAATCGACTTAGAATTTTATGCTGATTATGAATATATATACTTTATGGAGTCTAAGACGAATATTTAAGGATGTTACAAACGGAATGACAAAGTTAATATACCCTCCTTTCCAAGGTGGAGGGTATAAAAACACCAAATATAGGGAGGTAATATTATATGGGGGCTCTACCAAAAAGTGGACCTGCACAGGCAATTTTCTGTTCTAGGCTAAAGTATCCATTACGAACTCCAAATACCAAATTTGAAACAATTCGGGTGAATAATGTCCCTTAAATCATCAAAATACCGAATATCGGGAGGTACCATTATATGGGGGCTATACGAAGACGTGGACCTGCACAGACAATTTTCTGTCATAGGCTGTAGTATTCATTACGAACTCCAAATACCAAATTTGAAACAATTCCGGTAAATAATGTCGCTAAAATCATTAAAATTCCGAATATCGGGAGGTTCCGTTATATGGGGGCTATACAAAGACGTGGACCTGCACAAACAATTTTCTGTCCTAGGCTGAAGTATCCATTACGAACTCCAAATACCAAATTTGAAACAATTCCGATGAATAATGTCGCTAAATTCATCAAAATACCGAATATCGGGAGGTATCGTTATATGTGGGCTATACGAAGACGTACACCTGCACAGATAATTTTCTGTCATAGGCTGTAGGATCCATTACGAACTCCAAATACCAAATTTGAAACAATTCCGGTGAATAATGTCCCTTAAATCATCAAAATACCGAATATCGAGAGGTACCGTTATATGGGGGCTATACGAAGACTTGAACCTGCACAGACAATTTTTTATCTTAGGGTGTAGTATCTATTACGATCTTTAAATACCAAATTTGAAACAATTCTGGTGAATAATGTCGCTAAAACCATCAAAATACACAATATCGGAAGGTACCAGTATATGGGGGCATTACCAAAACGTGGCCCATTTTGCAATACCAAAAGTCCTGCAGACATAATATACATATAATCCAAACCTGGCACGTCGCAATATTTTCATCATATTTATTTAGGTCCGATACGAAATGGACAATATTGGCCCATTCCCTACGGAACCTACTCCATAGAGGGTCAACAATTTGAATAGTTATAACCGAAGTCCAAGAAATATTTTAACAATCGCACTTGGGCTAAGGGTATACATCTGTCGGCAAATCCGACTGATACTTTATAACTTGTTTTTATACCCTCCACCATGGGTAGGAGGGTATATTAACTTTGTCATTCCGTTTGTAACACCTCTAAATATTCGTCGTAGACCCCATAAAGTATATATATTCATAATCAGCATAAAATTCTAAGACGATTTAGCGATGTCCGTCTGTCTGTCCGTCTGTCTGTCTGTCTGTCCGTCTGTCTGTCTGTCTGTCCGTCTGTCTGTCTGTTGAAATCACGATAGAGCCCACATTATTTGACGTAGACCTTTGAAATTTGGCACAAGTGTGTGTATTGTCCCTAGGATGGTTGGTATTGAAAATGAGATATATCGGTCCACGTTCTGGTATAGTCCCCATATAACGGTACCTCCCGATATTCGGTATTTTGATGATTTATGCCACATTTTTTCACGGATTTATCTGAAAATTGGTATTTGTAGGTCATGACGGGTCCCTGAGCGTGTGCAAAACATTGCATGTATAGGTCCACGTTTTGGTATAGCCCCCATATAACGGTACCTACCGATATTCGGTATTTTGATGATTTATGCCACATTTTTTCACGGATTTGTCTGAAAATTGGTATTTGTAGGTCACAACGGGTCCCTGAGGGTGTGGCAAAACATTGCATGTATAGGTCCACGTTCTGGTATAGTCCCCATATAACGGTACCTCCCGATATTCGGCATTTTAATGTTTTTTGCCACATTTCTTCTAATGTTCTTTTACCCTAGGGTGGAGGGTATTAAAAGTTTGGCCCGGCCGAACTTAATGTTTTTTTACTTGTTTTTTTGTGTAAAAAAATCGAAAAAATATTGAAAATAGCGATAGTTAGAAATTTCAAAATCCCAAAATGTTTTTTTTTTTTCAGATTCATATAACTTTTATTATATTTACCTTTGTTTAGATTTTCGAAAGATTTTTCTTTGTTTCCTCTTCAGCTGTTGAGGTTTTATCTGCAATTTTGGTTTTGATTTTTTTTTTTTTTGGGGGGAAACGGGAAATTTTTGCAAAATTCAAATTTTGATTGTTTTCTTTTTTTATTTTTCTTCAATTGTTGATAATGATAAATTTTTGTTAAATGCGTTTCGATACGATTTTCTGGTTGTTGTTGCAAAATACGTTGATATAACCGAATGACAATCGAATAAACACTCACGCAAAACAACAAAAACAAAAAAATGACGAATGACAAATATGGAAATAATTTTTCAATGGTCCCCAAAACTTTCAATTCAAATAATTTCTGTAACAAAAAAAATAAAAAATGGAAAAAATTTATCAATGGATGGGATTTTGAAATACGGCGAATTTGAAATATGTGATGACGATGATGATGAATCTATTTCCCGCTACGTTTCTCAATCGGTGTTTTGTGGGCTATTGCATGGCTGCTTTTGTTGTTAAAATTTTTTTTCTCGTTTTTTACGGAAATGCTATTTTTGTTATGTTTCGTTTTGTTGTGCAAATTTGGATCACTTTCAAGCGGCGCGGCAAGTTGGCCAGTGCCAATATCGGTCGGACAAGCCAAAAGCCAACAATAAAAAGCCAAGACTAATAAAACGACACACACACATAACTAAGCAGCAACAACAAATACCATAAGTGGTTGGGATCTACAGCATCGGCGCTTGGTGGAAACTTTCCTTAATTATTCTTTTTTTTATAAAAATATAATTTTTTTTTCAATAATTTTTCTTTATTTTATTTTCTATTTTTTTATTTCCTTTATTTTTCTTTAAATTTCTCACTTTTATTATTTTTATTTATTTATTTTATTTTATTTATTTTTTTTTCTTTTTTTTTTTTTCAAGACATAAAAATCAAACCAAACTTGTTTTCTTATTTCATTACGATTCGATTTCGCGCAATTGATTTTTCTGTTGTTGTTGCTGCCGTTTGATATTAATTTTGTTTTCTTTGTTATTTTTTCTCGATCGATCAACACAGACTCCCCACACTCAGCGGTGGAGAGACACCAAACAAAAAAAAAAACAGACAACACAAACAACAACAATACAGTACTCAGAAAAAAAACCGCAAGAATAATTGTCTAACACAGCATAAATATCGCCCGGCAAACACGACCAACCTGTTCCAAAGTTACTACACAAATGAAATTCCATCTCTGATTTGATGTGTTGTTCGCCCATTCCCATTCAACGCCAGCGGACACACACATGAACGCATGCACACTCACACAATTTACTCCCCAAATGACTCCCATAACCAGAGTAGTCAAACAGCTCTCGATTTTCTTGATAGTTGGCTGGTTCTCTGTTGTGCTGAGAGCACATACACCATAGAAAAAGAGCGAGAGTATTTCTTTTTATGTTGTTTATGTTTGCCATGGTGAAGCTGGAGCTGTTGATGTGCATCGTTTCATATGCAGTTACTAATACACTGTCACTTATAATATGGGGGCCAACATAGGATTTTGTACAAAAACATCACCGCTGTGTTGTTCATGTTTACTGTTGTTGAGAGGCTGAAAGAGAGATATTCACAGTCTCTTTCTCTTAAATGCCATTGTAAAAGAGAGTTGTGTGTATGAGAGAAATACGAGGTAATATCGTGTTTTTGCCGATATTTTGCACAACAAACAGTGGTTTGTTTGCATTTTCCCCAAAAAGAAGTGCCCAAGGCTTCCAATTTTGACAATTTATCGGAATTTTTCAATTTTTCTTTAAAAAAATGAATTTTTGCCTCATAAATGAAAATATCAACCAATCAAATCATACAAAATATAACTGATTTTTTTTGCAGAATATTCCTAATGTTATAGGGTTGTTTTATTCTGGCATGAAGATGAAAGGGTCAACATTATGGATACACGTGAAGCTCATTTAACGCGAAATCAACATCCGTTTCCACTCAGACTTGGTACATCTGATCATTTCCATTAACACAAGATCTGTTATAAAGATGGTAGAGATCCACCATTTCTTCTGGTCGCTCCCAAACATAGGGTTCAATATTAGAAAGTATTAGTCGGTTTTGCCGACAGATGTATACACTCAGCCAATGTTTAAATATATTTTGACTTCTGTTATGATTATTCAAATTCTCGACCCTCTATGGAATATGTCTCGAATGAGTGGGCCAATATTGTCTATTTCGCATCGGACATAAATAAATATGATATAAAAATTGCGGCGTGCCAGATTTTGACTATATCGAGTACTTCCTTCACTTTATACGAGATATGTGATAAATTTTTAGAAAATATTAAAATACGCTTAATGTGCGGGATACAGGGTGAGATGAAAAAGCTGCAACCAACTTCAGACAGCTGTCATTTCTAAGCCACTCAAACGACAGCTGTTAAAACTATTCCAGTGACAGATCATTATATTGCTAACAAGCGTACGAAAGCATTTTGGTGAGAATTTTCCAGAAAAAAACTTATTCGTGAGGAATTCATGCGTGATAGTGTGATTTCTTTATATTTGGCTAAAAAAACACAAGAGCACTCCAGCATTTAAATGTGAATAACTCTTTTGTGTTTCGTACCATCGCTCGTTACCGTGACACTGGTAGCGTAGCCCAACGTCAAGGAAGTGGACGGAAGAAAACATCAAAATCAGCAGAAATGGTTCGAAAAGTAAAGAAGCGACTTGATCGCAAAGCAGCGAACGAAAAATGGCTCGTGATCCCGGACATATCGCAATATTCCATTCGGCAAATATTGAAAAATGAGCTCGGGGTAAAGCCGTTGAAATTCCAAAAAGTGCAAGAACTTACACCGCAACGGAAAGAAAATAGACTCAGACTCAAAAGAGCTAAAGAGTTGCTTCGCTTGGCCGAAATTGCTCAACTGGCGAATTTGGTTTTCTCCGATGAGTAAAACATTCGTTGCCCAGCAGTTTGTAAACAAACAAAATGATCGTGTTTACTTGCCAAAGAGGTCAGCTAAAAATGTGCACCTTCGGTTAGCCATCAGAACTCAAGCTCCGGCCATGGTGATTGTGTGGTTGGTGTGGGCCGCCATAACAGCCAATGGTCGTTCTCCGCTCGTATTAATCGACAATGGCATCAGAATAAATCCCGAATACTATCGCGAAAATATTCTGGAGGGTGTATTAAATCCTTGGGCACGCAAACATTTTGGCCGCAGAACTTGGACATTCCAACAGGACTCAGCACCATCGCACTCAGCACGCGCCGCCACCCAAGAATGGTTACAAAATGAGGCTCCTCGCTTCATTTCCAGCTCACAATGGCCAACAAAATCTCCGGATTCCAATCCGTTGGAGTATTGTGTCTGGAGTATTTTGGAAAGCAAAGCTAAACAATACCAAAGTGTCGATCACCTCAAGCAAACGCTTCGCCGGGAATGGGCCAAAATACCGCAGAGCAACATTCAGACAGCGTGTGACTGTTTCATTGGCCGTTTGAAGGCCATAATTCGTGCCAAAGGTGACCAATTCGAACAAATCGAAACTTATTCTTAAATTTGATGCTATTTCCGACATTTTTTGCCTTCATAAAAAAATAAAATTTAAAAAAATGTAAAAATATGGCGTTTGACGTTGTTGCAGTTTTTATCTTACCCTGTATTACGAGCAAAATCGAATTATCCTTCCACTTTCTGTGAAAATTTTGGCCCTTTGTGGTGGAGGTTCCAGAAGGATTGGGCTGATATTGCCCATCTCCGAACTCGATCTAAGTTTCATAATAATATTGTGATGTGCCAAGTTTGGACCAAATCGGATACTCACTTCGATATACATCGCTAGATTGACTCCGAATGTCCTGAAACGGATTTGATCCAAAGAGTCCTAGGGTCTAAAACCGTTATTTCGATGAGACACGTTTTGGCCGTAGCAAATGATATATACTCTCTGATGTATACCATATGGCTGAGGGTATAATTACTCGCGTTTCTAGTTTGTAACTTTTGTTTTAGGCTTATTGTTAAGGATTTAGTTCAGTATATCATTCATATTTTTATGTAAAAATGGCATTGTTCTTGGAATTTTATTGGCAGCGGTGGTTACATATTCCTCTTTTTCCAAAAAAATAATGTATTCAATACGATTTTAGTCTACAATTTAAAATTTCATTTAACATGGGTACTTGGAAGACGTTTCCCTTATACTCATTCATTCCTTGAAATTCTCTTTAATTTCTCTTCTGTACTTATCAAATTCCCCGTTTCCAAACAAAAAAAATCGTTTTGCCACCATGATCTCTTATGCCCTTAGCAAATGCAACTCTTTTGCTCTCCACACATCTCTCTCTAATAACAGTGATTTTCCTATTGCGGACACTAGATGTAAAGAGAAGGAGGGAATGTAAACAATCTCTAAATTAATTGACAACCACTGAGAGGTACTGAGGTGTTGAAATGCAATTCAACAGGCAATTACTGTGCCATTGTTCGATTCTTTATTTACTTCACAAGTGTAGGGTAGTGTTTTTTTTTTTTTTTTGTGCGACGGTGTGGGTCTGGTCATGTTTATTTTGTTCGTTCTTCGCATGTCTTCGACAATTGACAATCGGATGGGTGGTAAACAGGTTTTCCTTTTTTTTTATTATTTGTTTTATTGTCATTTGATTGTTTTCCATTGTTTGTCCATATCGACCGACCGGATGTCAATGTAGCAAATTGTGAAAGAGAGAATGTATGTGTGAGAGTGAGAGAAGGAACCTTTTAAGAGATCATGTTTCAAAAATTTTGATTTTGAATCAAAATCAATATTGACTGAGCTCTTTGATGTTAATGCAAAATTCATAACCTCTCTCTTCGAATCCTGAAAACTAAATTTTTGATGTGAAAGTATTTCAAAAATGTTTACAGTACCTAAAGAATAAAGTGAAAAGATCCTCGAAAATTCACAATCTACCGAGGAACATGGGATTCCAAAACGTTATGTTATTATAAGAACTTCTGAAAACGATATTTCACAAATTTTTGTCTTTGAGTAGCGGTATACTGACGTTTTGCCAGCTAGTTCAGTTTATAAAACACGAGACTCTTAATATCAGTTTCGAGGGTTAGGCCCCACGTTGGGTGCCATTTTGTAAATTATGCTATTCAAATCGTAAAGAAAATTTGCAACGTTTTGTTTTTGACTGCCTCGCCAAATTAGTCGTGGGATTGGCTGGTGCCAGACCTTTCGGTTGAAAAAATACAGGGTGAGATAAAAAAACCGTAACAAAGTCAAACATTATAATTTTTACATTTTTTTTAATTTTATTGAATAAAAACAAAAAATGTCAGAAATAACATCAAATTTTAGAATAAGTTTAGATTTGGTCGAATTGGTCACCTTTGGCACGAATTATGGTCTTCAAACGGCCAATGAAACCGCCACATGCTGACCGAATGTTGCTCTGCAATATTTAGGTCCATTCGACACTTTGGTACTTTTTAGTGCCAACCTTGCTTTCCAAAATACTCCAGACACAATGGTCCAACGGATTGGTATCCGGAGATTTTGGTGGCCATTGTGCGCTGGGAATAAAGCGAGGATCCTCATTTTGTAACCATTTTTGGGTGGCGGCGCGTGCTGAGGGCAATGGTGCTGAGTCCTGTTGGAATGTCCAAGTTCTGCGGCCAAAATGTTTGCGTGCCCAAGTCTTAAATACAGCCTCCAGAATATTTTCGCGATAATATTCGGTATTTATTCTGATGGCACGGTCGATTATTACGAGCGGAGCGGAGAGCGACCATCGGCTGTTATGGCGGCCCACACCATCACCATTGCCGGTGCTTGAGTGCACAATGTGCACATTTTCAGCTGACCTCTTTGGCAAGTAAACCCGATCATTTTGTTTGTTTACAAACTGCTGGACAACGAATGTTTTCTCATCGGAAAAACCAAATCTGGCAGTTCACCACTTTCGGCCAAGCGAAGCAACTCTTTAGCTCTTTTGAGTCTGAGTCTATTATATTTCTGTTGCGGTGTAAACTTCTGCACTGTTTGGAATTTCAATGGCTTTACTCCGAGCTCATTTTTCAATATTTGCCGAATGGAATGTTGCGATATGTTCAGCTCACGAGCCATTTTCGGCCACTGTGACGCGGTTTTCGATCAAGTCGCTTCTTTATTTTTCGAACCATTTCTGCTGATGTTGCTGTTTTCTTCCGTCTACTTCCTGGAAGTCTTGCTACGCTACCAGTATCAGCGGTAACGAGCGATGGTACGAGACACAAAAGATTTATTCTCATTTAAATG